GAAGTGGAGGCCGCCGGGGGTGGGGATCGGGGAAGCCGCCGACAGGAGGAGGAGGAGACAAACTTGAGAAAGAAAGGGCTAAGGGGCAGGGGTCTTTCACCAGTTCTGACACTCCTAAGAAGAATCTATTTTTGTGTAGCTCCCCTACAGTTCTAAGTTGTTTTGTCTGAGGTTACTGTCCTATGAAAGTATTTACCTGAAGAAGGAAGCTCTTGCCCTTTCCAAAGCCAAAGAGAAGTCCTTGAAAGTCAAGAAGGCAGTGCTGAAAGGTGTCCACAGCCACAGAAAGAAGATTCACACTAATAGATTTTCTGCCCCTCCCCATCCCCCACACCAAAAGTTTCTCCACCCATGCAGTAAGCCAGATCAAGCTGAATTGGAAACTGTTATAACAGGTACATTGAAAGCAACTCCCAGGCAGGTTCTCCAGTCTCAGAGAATGGGGCTAGAGGAGTCATGCCCCCAAATGGAAACAAGGAGATTTTGTCGGATGTAGATGACGGGTGATGATGTGTCCTCCACAAGTTGGATTTGCCCACCCAAATAAGAAGAAAGAAAAAACTCAGCACTGAGACAGGGACTTGAGCAGCTGGCAACTTCAGCTGCAGAACTGGGCTTTTTGGCACCTTTCCTTTGTTCCGAGACACTCTGAGCAGGTGAGAAAGTGGGGAGAATGGAGAGGGAGAAGGGAGAGAGACAGAAATGGAGCTTTCCAGACCATGCAGGAGCAAGATGGAGACTCCAACTACAGAAGTACACCACCCACCTTCCTGTGGCCCAAGACCCTGCAGTGCCCCAGGCAACCCAAATACCCTTGAAAGAAAGCGCCTAGGAGATAAGCTTGACCACTATGCCATCATTAAGTTCCCTCTCTTGACTGAGTCAAAAGAAGACAGAAGAAAACATACTTGTGCTCATTGTGTATCTCAAGGCCAGCAAGCAGCATATGGAACAGGCTGTAAACAGGCATATGACACTGCTGTGGACAAAGTCAACACCCTCATAAGGCCTGATAGAGGGAAGGAGGCTTGTGTTTGGCTGGCTCCTGATTATGATGCTCTGGATGTTGCCATTGGGATCATCTAAACTGAGTCCAGCTGGCTAATTCTAAAGCAACACCTTTTCCACAAAAAAAAAAAAAAAAGGAAGTGCTTACCTTCTCACAAGAGAACTCCACACATTCAAGGTGAATACTTGGAAAGCTCCCTGCTAGAAGAGGTTTTTCTGCTTCTCAAACTAGGTAAGAATGGTGTTAATCAAATGGCAGGGCTGGTGAGAAAACAGTAACTATCATTGTTATGACATATACCATTGGGTTTAGTTTACAGTCCTTTTATAATTGTGTAACTTGAACCTCAGAACAATTCCAGTAGGTAGGGCAGAGGGCCTTCACTTACTCAAATCCAGAGACTCCACACATATTTCATGCAAATGATATGTTCTTGGGGTAAATAATGCCCTCTGGAGTCATGATCCAAGACTTCCCTAAGAGGATACACATTATTTTCCAGCTACCCTTCAAGTTCTCCCTAGAAATCTACCCGTCTAACTGCTGGTGATTGATCTCTCATTAGTCATAGTTTCCAACTCTACAAAGCTGTGCTAGCCAGCCCTGTTAAAACTTAAACTCCAGAGGCTGCAACAATGAAGATGCTTTTGCCTTTTCTCCACAGCCATGTCTCTACCCCAGACAGAATCTTTAAAGGGTACTGAGCTCACATCCTCTTTCACATAGCAGCTTCCTAAAATAAAAATAACTATGCTGCCTTAACAATTAATACAGCTCAGCATGTTTTGCTTACAACTTTGGAATGAATGGAAAGGAACATGATTTTTTGAGCTCTGAAAAAAAAATTAAAGAACAAAATATTCTGCTAAATTCGGGCACTGAAATTCCAAGATTTAGACTAACCAACTAGATATTGGTCCTTGCACATCCTGGGAAACCTGCCAAATAAAATCCCAAAGGAAAATGGAAATTCCCAGGAAATTTTTGCAATAATAAATCGTTGTCCAGCACCATCCTTTTTGTAGCTGGGAATTTCCCTTATCACTCTATTTCTCTCCTTAGACATTGTACGAAAGTGAAACTGAAAACAGAACACACCACTGGTTCTTATCAGAGGAAAGCAGTTCCCAGAAAGAAGACAAATAGATGTGTTTCAGGTTACTGACCAGCAACTCACAAACTGTCACTTCCGGAAAATCACATCATCCCGAGAATGCCACTCTCACTACATTTCCCAACAGTGTCTTCCTGACATTGATAGAAAAAGCCTAAACTTCCAGCAGAACACTTAGCACCTGTGAGCACATGGTCTGGCATCCTGTCTTTCCCAGGGCACTCAAAGCATTCCAAATGAAGAGACATTTGTTTTCTTGTCTTTGTACTTTCAGCACTTAGGATGATGGTGTATAAAATGTCTGTTACATGTGTTGCCTGGGTGTGGATATGCTGGAGATCTTAATTATCAGGAAGTTCCAATTTTCATTTGCATACCACTTAATGTCTTACGTATTTGGCACATATTAAAATTCATATTAACATGAAAAAAGAAAATGTTTCTTGTTTATTATGGAGAACTAAATGTAATAATGAAATAGCAGGCACTCCTTACTATTTATTTCCCCTTTCTTTTAATCATGAATCAAATAAGGGGATTTTAAAGCAAATTATTTCCTCCATATTCTTCACCATAATAAATCAAACATAATTTAAGGACTAAAATATAGTTCCATTTAGAAGGATTTTTTTAACTATCATGAAGAAATTACTAAAGACAGTTAATTCAACTAATTTTATTTTAAATCCAGGACAACCAGCTTTGAGGGTATATGGAGATCAATACAGGAGAGGTTCCTTGGTACTCTGACCATATAATCATTTTAGAAATGACACTGTGGGGCTAGAGTGATGGCTCAGCAGTTAAGAGCAGTATCTGCTCTTCCAGAGATAGATTCCCTGAGATAGATTCCCTACACCCACATAGCAGCTCACAGCCATCTGTAACTTCAGAAAGTATTCCCTTTTCTAGACTCTGTACAAGGCATGGTATACACAAAATTAAATTAAGAATTTTAGCCAATTTAGACACTCACTTTCAATTCCAGCACTCATGAGGTGAGGCAAGCAGATATCTTTGAGTTCAAGGCCAGCTTGGTCTATATGGTGAGTTCCAGGAGATCCAGGGTTATGTAGAGAGGCCCTATCTGAAAAGAAAAGACAAAAAAAATAAAAAAATAATACTGAGGAAACCTAAAAAGTTCCTTGTTGGATATGTTATTGAACAACTATAGCATACTCATACCAGGCAATACTATTCAGCAATTTATAAAACGCTATTATTGATAAACAACTCTCACATGAATCTCAAGAGTATGATGGTGAATAAACTAAGCCAGTATCAAACTTAACAATTCCAGTAACATATTTATTATGGTTTGTATGTGAAATGTCCTTCCAAAAGCCCTATACATTGAAGTCTTAGTCCCCAGCTGGTAGCACTGGGGTGATTAGATCATGAGGCTTGCTCCAATTATTGGTAATATATTGATTAGTGCAAACTGAATGGGTTGGTAGAAATCAGGGGCCTACTTGAAGAAAGCAGGCCACTGCAGGTATTGGTAGCATGCTTTCTGAAAGACAAAGCTTGTCCCAGCCTTCCTTATTTCTCTGTGCTTCCTAACAAACAGGCTTGCTCTACACAGGATGCCTGCCATGATGTACTGTCTCTATGGGGCCCAAAACTATGAGACAAGATAAACTCTTCTGCCTTCAAGGAGATTTTCTCAAGTAATTTGTCACAATGATGAAAAAATAATTTTGAAACAACATTATAGCGAAGGAAAACAGATTCAAGGTTACAGAAATGTTCCTTCTGTCAGCAGTGAGAGACAATCTCTTCAAGTCATCTCTCCTAGCTTGTGGCAACTTCAATCATTCCTTGACTTACTGTGGTTGTCATTTTCCCTGTGTTTTCACACTGTCTTCCCTCTATGGATGCCTATCTTGCTATCCAAATAGCTTTTCCTTTTTAAAAAAATATGGGGTAGGGTCTTGCTATGTTACTACAGACTGGCTTCAAACCCATGAGCCTACTGCCTCAGCCTCTCAAGCAATGGGATTACAGGTATGTACCACCACACCTGGTCCATTTTTTCCTTTTTGTTTGGACAGTCATCTTTGATAAGGTCTAGACTAATGAGCTTAAACTGATCAACTACACCTAAGACACTTTCCTGTTGCTGTATAAAATACCCTGGCAAAAGCAACTTACAGAAAGAAGAGCTTACTTTAGGCTCAGAGTTGGAAGGTGTAGTTGACTCTGGAGGCAGAGGCAGGTGGATCTCTGTGATTTTAGACCAGCCAGGCCTACAGAGCTAGTTCCAGGACAGCCTCCAAAGTCAAAGCCACAGAGAAACCCTGCCTCGAAAAACCAGAAAAAAAAATTAGCTTATCTTAAAATAACACTTCATTTAATCATAGAATTGAATATAGAATATTTATAAAGAATGGCTAAGTAAGAAGCACCATTTATTAACTGTAGATACTGGATAACTTTCTAAGTCCTTGTGTATGACTCCACATCACTAACAATCATGGTTTTAGATTTGGGGCAGGAGCATTCCAAATGCACCCCAAATGTTCAAGTACCTGTGCAGAACCAATTTTTCTAGCACTTGTGTTTGTATACCTTTCTAGACGCTTGGACTGTGAGATGCCTGAAATTCTTGGAATTCTGTCTCTTCTTATTCTGTTCTGTAACAGTCTTTCTGTGATCTCCCCACTCAGCCTCCCACATGGGGATTTTTAAGTGAAGGATTATGGGAGTCAGATAAGGGCCTGGTAGGCAGACAGGGAATCACACCATAAATAAACAAGATGGCAAACTTCTGGCTTTCCCCAAAAGTAGGCCTTTCTGACTGACTTACCTGGACATGTTCTAGGCAGGCCCTGGGTATGTCTAAGCTTGTTCAGTAATATTCTATGGACCTACTCTCCTGTTTTCAAGCTCATCAATCCAAAAAGGGGGAGCAGAAACCATCCTATGCTACCAACACACCTAAAAATCCCAGTCCTCCAGGGCAAAGCAGATCCCGGTTTCTATCTCCTCCCTACCTATGATCAGTCTGTTCTTTTGTGTTTGGTGTGTGTGTGTGTGTGTGTGTGTGTGTGTGTGCGCGCGCGCGCGCGCCCGGGTGTGGGGTGGATGGTTGTTTGTGTTGTGTGTGTTGTATGTCTTTGTGGTGTTTGGGTGGGGTGTGTGTGTAGTGTGTGTGGTGTGTGTGTGTGTGTGTGTGTGTGCGCGCGCGCGCGCGCACGTGTGTTTGATGTATGGTTGTATGGTGTATGTGTGGTGTTTGGTGTGTATGTGGTGTGTGGTATGTGTGTGGTATGTCTGTGTGGTGTTTGTGTGGGGTGTGTGTGTAGTGTGTGTGGTGTGTGTGTGGTGTCTGTGTATTGTGTGTCTGTGTGGTGTGTGATATGTGTGTGGTGTGTAGTGTGTGGGGTGTGTGTGATGTGTGTGTGTGTGTGAAAGGGTTTTCTGGTTTTTAAAAAATATTTATTTATTTTTTATTTATTTATTTAATGTCACTAGGGTTTTTTTTTGTTTTTTTGTTTTTGCCTGTATATACTCCATGTCAAGGTGTCAGATCTCCTGGAACTGGAATTATAGACAGTTGTCAGCTGCCATGTGGGTCCTGGTAATTGAACTTGGGTCCTCTAGAAGAGCACCCAGTGCTTTTAACCTCTGAGCCATCTCTTCAGCCCCTCCCCAAAAAATGTCTTCTTTTGCAAAATGTGTCTTATTTCTAAATGAGACGTTAATGACTTAATACATACTATTTTCTAAGCTAAGATGCTATACTATTTCCTAAACTAATGCCAAACAAGCACAAATAAACTTTATTCACAATAAAATTTTGGCATAATTTTATAGAATTTTGAATAAATGAGTTCAACATATAGATATGATGTTTATTTTTGAGGCTAATTTGTCCATTTCATCTAAGTTTTTGTTTCTTGTTTAGCAGATCTTACTAACATATTAAGCTTTCTATATTTAATTAATTGATGAAAATTTAATTTATGTATTTGTGCCGAAAATATTTTCCATATGTATATCATGTAGTCCTAGTTGAGAATCTATAATTATATATAGTTCAATGTCATATGTAAGTACATATTTTTAAATTTTTATTTTGTGTATCTATTTATTTAGGTTGTTTTGTTTGTTTGCTGAGACAGGGTTTCTCTGTGCAGTCTTGTCTGTCCTGGAACTCACTCTGAAGACCAGGGTGGCTTCTAGCTCAGAGATATCTCTGCCTGCCAGAGTGCTAGGTTAAAAGTGTACACTACTACCACCTAGCTCAAAGTTTTATTTTTATTTATGTGTATGCAAACTGCAAAAGCCAGAAGAGGGGTCAGAGACCCTGGAGCTGGAGGTACAGGCAGCTGTGAGTCACCAGATGTAAGGCCAATAGCAAAACTCCATCCTCTGCAAGAACTGCCAAGCCTTTTAATGGCTGGGCCGTGTCTCCAGCCCAAGAACACATACTTCTAAACTGTAGACTTGTAAAACTATGAAGAACTAAAGTTTAGGAAAGAATGTGTGGATGATATATATATTTTACACTATTCATAAAAGGGACACAATTACAGAGTTTAGTATCCAGGTAGGGATAGGATTACAGAACTAAATGGCACACAAATATGAGGTACTAAATTTGTGCCAAACATCCCACTGAACAGTCATCTAAGTAGAAAGGTGTTTTAAGTAAAAAGATGGAATAGTGATTGGGTTTTGGTAGTCTTTTTTGTTTGTGTGGGGTTTTGTTGTTATTTTGGAGTGTTTTGTTTTGTTTTTGTTTTAGATAGCAGCCTTCCCAAACACAAGAAATGGTGGTTTTTCAATTTGTCCGTAGGCTTTGGAGAATAAAAACAGCAAGTTTCCTGGTAGAGGAGCATGTCACAGGGGCTAAACACCTCAATTTGTCACACTGTGACAGTGCTTACCTCTCCACCTCACTCCTGAAGTGGTAGTCACCGAGTGCCAGCAGATGGTTATCGCTCAGGAAGTGGGACGATATAGATGTCACCGAGCTCCCCAGCAGGAGTCACCCCCACCCCATCACTTCTGGGGTTTGGAGACTAAGGCAGACACCAGGCCAAAGGAAAATCCGGCGTGGACGCCACTGCAGGGACTTTCCCCAGAGGAAAAGTGCTCCAGGCCTGAGCAGAGCCACAGGGCTGAGAGGGAGGGGGAGCTGAGTCCCCCACTCTGCTGACCACACCCAGGAGCCTGCTGA